CAGCATTGCAACAGCAACTGCAACGGCAACTGCAGCTTACGCTGACGTGGATTCGTCCGAAGAAGGAGGAGTGGAAGAAAAGGGGCGGAGTGAAAGAAAAATCAGGCGGGTTTCTCCGCTCAGAAGCAACATTGGGGGACCGGACCAACGCAGTTGGTCTTCTTTTGGACCCTCTATATACACGATATAGAGAACTGAATAATTTGACTTTTGGGTGTACGCTGCCTTTAAATGAATTTATGCAGTATGTCATTCCACGAGCTTAATAAACTTAAATTTCAGCCGGAGCGATGGTCAGAATGATTCTTTTGTAAACAACATAGATTTTTTTCTTGGTCCAAAATTGAGAGGATTTGTGTCACATAATACGGATTGCTACCGATGCTGAGAAATTTTAATTGCAAAAAAATTGTAAAATTTGCTGGATTAAACCACTTCGAACGATGAAACATTTGATTTGAATGCTATCGTTTACTGCAGAAAGCCTACCCATCGAAGTTACCAAAAGTATTATCAAACAGGCCAGATATCTACTCTGTAAAAAAATTCTGTTCAACAAAGTAGCCAAAATTAGCATTATCAACATCATTAGGTACTGTATTGTTCCGGCCTCCAATAATGAGCGTGCACCATATTTTCGAAGTCAGGAGTAGTAAGATAGCTTGTGAATGAAGAATGGTGATTTGAAAAGGTTCGAACTGACGGTGCGATGTTACAGACCTACACAAATTTTGTATCCATGACCAACTTCAGAATGAAAAACAATCGCAACTTTTCTGCATGGGATGAAATGCGCACAATGTTCATTCCAGGTAATTATGCTAACTATTAGGTTGTCCCGAAAGTTTTGTCGGTTTTTTCCATCGCTCACTAAAACCCACAGAACACCAATTCATGGAAGGTCGAGGTATCACTTGAAACAAATTTTCATCCTCTTTCTTACAGCTGTACTTGCTTTCTGATCTACCCTGTCTTCGCAATGTTATCGCCATGGCTTTTTGAGCAGCTCAGCAGTAACCCCAAATCTTTTCTGAATTTTAAAAATTTTTCTCTTGCTACTTTCGAAAAGCGCTAATAAATGTTATGTAGAACCATTCTTCGGCTACATTAGACTTATTTTAGATTACATAGGTCACGCTTATCAAGTCCTAAATAATTATTTATTTAGAAAAAAACCACCGCTTTTTGATTACTCTACCACGTAAAATCACCGAAAATTCCAAAAAGATGCTTTTTCAAAACAAAACAAACTTGGATGTGTTTCATAAATAATGTTTATTAGCAATCAAGGTTCAATTCGCAAAAATTCCAGATGCTTTCATGTTTTTGCCGCAGTTGCGTGTTCCATGGTTTTGCCAGAAATCGATACCTCCAAAGAAATAATTCTTTGAAGCTAGAAACAGCAACTTAGCAGAATCTAAAAATATTACCGTATAGCCCGAGAATTGTTCTATTTGTGCCATGCTTAATCCTTCCCAAAACTTTGGAACAGAATTTTTGAAAATTAGCCAACTAACTTTGAGCAGATAAAAATGACGAGTGAACACGATGATGGCTCCTAAATGCAACCATTAGAAAGAGAAGGAAAAGCTGCATCGAATGCATGTTAAAACTCCTTCAGATCTTCATTGTGCGTGGTTTTATTGGTTTTGAAAAAACCGACAAAACTTTCGGGACAACCTAATATATGAGCCACATAATTCTTAAGATATTGGATCGCGCTTGCCCCATGTATATATTAGAAAATTGTCTTGTACAGAGTACCAATACCGGCTAAAAGGCTGAAGATTTCGCTCGCTGACTTCAAAAACTCTAAATGTTTTCAAAGATCCATATATTGAGAGAACAACTTTGGCTTCATAGAATCGTCATTAATGGGATGTTGAGTGAGGTGAGTAAGAACCCAAATGGAGATTTGGACACTAACTTTCATCTAAAGCCCCCGAGATAGCTAATGTGACGAGTAAGTCGAAGGATCATTAATTGCTTTGCACTTCGCTTCAGCTCACTTTCAATGTGTATACAAGCCTGAATGCGCGAATGAGTAGCCTTGCAAAAGATCTGAATGCTTATTCACCTGCTGTATAGAACTACCTTTCTAAACGACAAGAGGCTGTTTGTATTGAGGTTCTTCTTTTTTCATTTGGTCCGCATTCAAAGCTCATCATAATTCATGTGCTCCGATTTGGAACATGATCTCTGTACTCAAACAGAGATAAACGCGGGGTGGCATATTAGCATTTGACCTTCTTGTTATTCCAGTTGAACAAACATGGAGTACTATAAGTCGGAAGCGCTTTCCTCGATGGTCCCATCGGGAACAGCCTTCCGGCCGATTCCTAGAACTCGCCTTGTGCCTTGATTGCCATAATTACCTTCGATTATGGTGAGTGAACAGATTATTTCGAGAAACCTTTTCAAGTTTTGAAGAAAAGAAGTCAGGCAACTTTATGAGTCAGGATTCTATGGAAGCAATCATAGGGTCAATTTAGATGCGACTTCTTCTCTCCCTCTTTCTCTTGGTGGCCGTTTCCTGGATAATCCTTGACACGGTGGATGCTAGTGGGGCGATTCGGCAAAAAAGACAGTACTATGGCTATGGTAAGTTGCCTCTATTTGGAACACTTCGCAAAAATCAAAATCTCAAAAAATCATTACAGGATACGGTGGATACGGCGGATACTATGGATGTGGATGTGCAACTTATGCACCTTGTCCTCACGGCAATGGCGGTGGTGGTGGTTGGGGTGGTTACGGTGGTTATGGATACGGTGGCTATGGCGGAGGCTATGGCGGGTATGGAGGCTACGGCTACAAGAAGTAACCAGGAAACTATTGAGAAATCCAAACACTGTTTGACAATTCTACAAAAATTGAAATAAATACTTATAAACTACGGTAAAAAAACAACTATGTAATGATTATGTACTTAATTTCAAAATCTGTCAGCTCATTCTCTCTCATCATGAAATTCAGCAGCACATAAGTTGAGAGCGGAATTTTGTAGTCTGAGAATTTTCAGCGATTCTACATTATGACGCTCACGAGAACTGTGTAAATTCCCCACAAATACTGTAGACAAATTACGGTACCGACTAGAAACGCGGAATGCTCAGTGTCGTATTTGTTTGGAGAGAACACAAGTATCAACAAAATGTGT